CTTCTTCTGTATAATTCTCCAATAGAAGAAAAGAAAGAAGTAAGATATTTAGGTTTAATGTTTACTTATGATTTAACATGGACTACTCATATAAATAAAGTTTATTTTAAAACATCTTCGATAGTAGGATTGATGAAATATTATAAACATGTATTATCTAGAAACGCACTAGAAATTATTTATAAATCATGTGTATTATCAATTTTGAACTATGATTGTATTATTTACTCCTTAACTACTGTGGCTAACCTGAATAATTTAGAAAGTGTACAATATAAAGAAGCTATTGCTACTGTAGATGCGATGAAAGGAACGTCAAGAGAGAAAGTGTACGAAATATTAGGGTGGTTCTCTCTGAAAGATCATTTTTCGTATTTTACGACTTTTAACATTTTCTAAAATTATGAAAGGATTTACTCCTGGTTATTTGTCTGTGCATTTACACATTCGTCAACCGAATGAAAGATATAATTTACGTAGTAATCAGAATACAACTGTAGAAACAATGAGAAACACTTCTAAAGACTTTTTTGCAGTAGTAACTGAAGAATGGAACAGGCTAGTATTAAAAGATCCAAGAGTTTTGAAAATGAAAGTTGCTAATATGAGAGAAATGCTAAAAAATGAAGTAACTCCAACTGAAAAATTTTCTAAACGTTTAAAGTTTGCCACAAGGCGAGAAGAAATAATTTTTATGCGTATTAAAAGTGATTTTCCACCTTTAAATTATTATCTATACAAACGAAAATGTATTGATTCACCTTTGTGCAATTGTGGAGGTGAAAGGGAAGATATTGTACATTATTTTTTCAACTGTTCGCTGTATAATTTTGAAAGAAATCTATTAAAACAAAAGTTGAATTTTTTAAATGAAATTACACTAGACATTTTTCTCCTAATTTTTTTTTCAAATTTTTCAAAAACTAGATTTATTTTATAATCTTCATATGTTGTATTTATTCTTAACATTTGACAACGATTTTTCCATTGTTCACCATTTTCTGGAAGTATTGACAAATTATTTGCCTTTGACATAGAACGAAAAACTGTAATTTGAACTAATGACAAATAATTTATAAAATACAAATTTGAACATGCATTATGAAGCCATTTTGAAAACAATAATTGAAGTTCATTCCACACATTTCGATTATTACGCATATCTTGTAATAGTTGTTGTTCTTCACAATCTGATAAAATGTCCAACAACGATCAGTTTTGTTAAACGATTTAATAATTTTCTATCTGTTGCAATCACCGGATCACATTGACTTACAATATCTATTGCACCTAATTCTAATATTTTTGGCAAATGATTTCAATTTATTTGTTCACATTCAATCATACGAGTATAGAAATTATTTACCTGGATCAATACAGACTGGATGATTGATTGAAATTGGATGTTGTGAATGTTCAAGTGACAAAGATTGTACAAACGATTGTCTAATAACAGATTCTGTTTCATCAATTCTCAAGCTAATTTGACTAATATTGTTAATAAGATAAAAAGTTTATAATTTTTCCCAAAATCGATTAATCCAATATCAAAAAGAGCATGTGGCGTTGTTTGCAGTATAGGCAGTTTAAATTTAAGATAATATGGAATATTCAGCAATGTTTCAGATGAATTCGATTTTAATTGTACAATCAGACTAAAATCACATAAATCAACTGGATAATATTGAAATTGACTAGTTGAATCTTTTGACGATTTCCATCACAGTTAATCAGGTTGCATAAGAAATTTTGATGATAACATGTTTTGTCTATCATTAACTGAAACAATCTGTGCATATTTGATATTTGCCGATGCATTACTTGAATTTTTGATTGACATTTTAGTTTCAATAGGCTTAGTTTTTCTTAATATATCGTCCCACAAGGTAAGCATGTCGACTGTTTGTGCTATACGTATTTCTTTTTGTATTTCCGTTGGTGAAAATGTTAGTTCTGACGAGAACTTGTTTCATATAGTTGAAGTTCAAAATGACGTTTACTGTTTGTAAATGCAATACCTAATGTATAATTTTGTCTGAAATCTACTCTATTAGGCATACGAATTGTAACATTAAGAATTTTCGTATTAGCAGGTGTTAGTAGTATAGTTTTTGTATTTGATTCCAAATGGCTTGTCAAATTTAAACTATAATCAACATCATCATTGTTACAAAATTCAAATGACATCAGCCGTGTTTCTGATTTGTATCTGACAATTGTCGTGGTTTATTCTCAAGGATCTTTCGTCCTTGATACAAAATAGTGAGTACTGTTAGTCGACTTTCAGCCATTTTAAATTTTTTGCTGAATCAATGACAGGACATACATCAACATCATGGATTTCACTTCCTGGTTTTAATGGTAAATAAAATTTTGCAATTGATGTTGGTTTCAAATTTAATTCGTCTGAATCAATTGTTAGTTCTGAATTTATTGTTGCCTTCTGCTGTAATTGTGCTTTAATACGCAATGGACAAGCTAGTAGATTTTTGAGATCAATCGATTTTTGTATTGTATGACTCTACAATGAGAGACATAGCCAAAATCAATTTTATCTGCAGAAAGTTCTGCGCCAGCTTTCACTACTTTTCCCAAAACTTTAAATATTGTTTGTATTTTATGTTCGAGTAAAATGATATTCAAATCACATTCGTTTTCTCCAGCTGCACTAGGTGAACAGTACAAAATATCGATTTCCATACCTCGGACAATAGTATTAATGTTGAGAGTCTCAAAATCACAACTAAATTTCAAATTATATATGTAAACTCAGAAAGTTATGTTGTCACAAACCGCTGGAAGGTTTCTGGAAAATCTGAGAATGGTTCCATCGGATTCATCATCACTTTTTACCAAATTTTCATTGAATTTAAATGGAAACTTACGGTTTTATTAAGGATTCAGTTGCCCAATTCTTCCGCGAATGAGTTCTCTTTCGAACTCATTCTCACACTGCACCCTGACACCAAAACTCGATTAGCGGAAAAAGTTCGTGGAAGAGTCGTGTCACGAAATTTCAGTGATAATCGAATTTCTCCGGAACGAAAAGACTTTCGAAGAAACGATACCTAACTTTGTTCTACTTGTCGCGACAAACGGAATGCCATCAAATTCAAGGCTCTGTTTCTTAAGCAAAAAACTAGATAGACTTGCAAGAGGAGGTTGAAACACTTAAAGATCACTCGGTTCGACTCGTAGCCAAAAATCCATCTTTTGCCCTGGAACCTTTAAACTTAGTCTTCAAATTCAGACTTTTGATGGTAATTCAAGAAAACGTTGTTTCAGCTTTTCGAAATACCTAAAATCTATACACATATACATATATGTGACAACATAGCTTTCCGAGTTCCTGAGTTCCTAACTTAAAATATATACACACATATATATATATATATATGTAGGTATATACATATATACGTGTATGTAACAACATACGTTGCTGAGTTTCTAACTAAGTACATATATGCATTTATATATGGGTGAGAACATAAATTGACATACTTGTCGTTTTTGACTCTCAACATTAGTACAATTGTCCATGACACCTCGATTTCAGTATTATTTTGTGCTTGTGTTAAAAGTCTTTCAGTTGGAACATAAAATAAAGTATTTTTCTTTTTTGTATCGTCGGAATATTTTATTTCTATATGAATATCATTATCAGTTTGATTGTGAATTATAAGCTTTTGTTTCATTCGTTTATAAACGCCAACGCGACACCAAAGTCAATAAATGAATTTTTTGGTCCACATTGTATTGATTTTCCTTTTAGTGTATATACCTATATTAGAGCATCTGGTTTCAATTGTGAGTAGAGAAAAGCATCGTTCACATTGGATTCGGTTTCAATTTTCATATTAATCATATGGATTATTTGTAGCACGTTTTGTATTTCTGTATATTCGATTTACACTATTTCTGATATGGATTATTCATTTTACGAAGATCTGGTTTATTTATCAAAAGACGATGTATTTGATCATATTGATGATTCAATTGTGAAAATATTTTATCATTTGCGTGCTTTCCAGTACTGTTCACTACATTTGCCCATGTGTAAGCTACAATCAATTGTACATAAAGAACATAAAGAAGCAATATACTAATGTATTTCTTGATTAATCTGTTTGATACAATGCCTACCATTGATAAAAGCTTTTTGCATTGCTTTGGTTGTTTTAGATTTACGTTGTAGAGGACAGAAACGTGAAGGTGTTCAAAAACTAGTACGTTCAAAACATACGAAGAGTACGAGTGCTATTAAACTATTTCATGATTAAAATACTTAATAATTTTTTGTAAAAATCGATATTGAGCTAACTACATCTTTGCCTAGCCTTCGGTGTATACTTATCCTTGAATTAAGTGCGAGCCATATAAAACTAAAGTGTGAAATAGTTCCAGTTATAATGAGGCGTCTAACGACCGCGAGGAATAGATTAGACATGTTGAAGTAAAAAAAATCATTTTTTCTATAGTAATTATTAATGGTAGTTGATATGTATGGGATATGTGTCTATACATGCCCACTGACACTGGTTGATCATCGAATAACAGATAGCTGATGTATAATGATGACTTGAGCATAATTCGATACATAAAGTCTTGAAATATATATTCTTATTTGTTTGGATGTGAGTTCAGTGAACGCTTCTATTATTTCAAGCATAAAGTAGCACAACTAAAAATTATAAATACTATGAACTGGTGAATGAAAAAAGATTCTGGATGTACGTCGTACAAGTCGATAATTGAACAAGTATTAGAACTGGTAGAAAACATTTGTCAAACGGGTTAAGTATAGTTTTCAAGAAGATCAAATATTAAGAAAACTGTTCTGGAATGGAAAAATGTTTGAGATCGATAAATCATATAATATACATATTGATAGGATATAACCTTGAAATGGAAAAAAGCTGATATTTTTTAAAGTGAGCATTCGAAAAATTTGATTAAAAGGAGGGTTTTTTGGCCTAGCACACGAATAGATAAATGGCTCCAAAAATTCACAGGATATTTTCTTTCTGTATGAAACGCTTTTACATGAAAATGCTGTAGTTGATGCCAAAAAGTTGCTAGTAGGTTTCGAGAAATACTTGGTTAACATTAAGATGAGAAAAGAAATTTAAAGCAGCCTGTGCAGTTTTTTCAAACAGCTAATAAGACTCGCTTGTAAAATAAGGCAATGTCTTATCTTCACATAATTGACAGTCATTTGTTTGAGTTCCACGACAGAGAAGATTTAGGAGCGTCCAACATGCAAGTAGTTGAGAAAGAAAATGATTGTTGATCTCACTTGTATGCACTGAATGAAGTGAAAAAGTGAAAATCGTTTCTTCAAAAATATACAGTTTTCGGTCAGAGCATTAAAACATTTATATTTCTGTCTAAAGTAGGCATGTTTCAAATCGAACAGCCCGATATCAAGCTGCGCGAAGTCGAGCCGGCTTGGAATCAAACATGTTCGATAATGAAGTTCAAAAAAATAGATAAATTCGAAAAATCAAGTTTTAACTTCGGTCTTATGAGTTGAATAGTGCTATCTCGTTTACTAAGCGGTCTGATAGCGTGTCAGAGTCATTATCGAACATGTTTGTTCTCGAGCCGGCTCCACTTCGAGCAGCTCGATGTCGAATCGCGCACCTTAGTTTGAGACTGGTTCATGCCTACTCTTAAGTGATCTAAATTCACTAAAAATTTCACGACATAATGCAAACAGTGTCTTCTACCTTGCAGAAAACAGAAACGGAGACAAACTTTGAGTTATACTAGTATTTATTTCGATAGTTGTTCAAATCACGTTCATCAAAGAAAAAGCAATGAACTGATTACGTTTTGTGGCCAAAACTGAAGTGGAAGAGTTATTCCGCTGAAATTTGCTAAGTTTTTTCCCTCGAGAACCTTCGTGAATTGAGTGACTTTAATACAAAACAACCCATTTCAGCTGAGTTTATCAGATCTACCATAGGATATCCCTAAGGGAAAGCGCAAGAGTTTTCTCCACAGATAGGATTCATCGCTGTTTATCCAAACATTTGTGTTGTTCTCGGCACTTCATCCAGCTCAGTAGCTTCTTCACCCGTTCCATTCATTTTATATCATCGTATGTAGCAACATAAAAAAAATATATATATGATAAAAAGATTATTCAGTTAATTTTAAGCATTCGCCTCTTATGCATTTAATTTATATACTAATCCGAAGAACAAAGTCTGGTTTTTACTTTGAGAAAACATTCTTGTCCAATACCTTTCTTTGCAGAGAAAAATTGATTTATAAGAGCAAATTTCGTACCGTACGAGGTCTAGTGTAATTCGAGACGTCTTTGTACGAAATCGAACCATTCACATTTCATTTTCTCACATAGATAAGTACATAAGCATTTTTTGTGATTACTTTCTGCCGAATGAGATTAGATGGAATTTCTTCAAAGTACTGATCATTGAATGAAAACCATTTGTTGTTTACTTTTCTCGCGACGGCTGTGTAATGACCACCACCAAGGCTTCCTTGATGATTTGAAACAGCCATTAAATCATAGAGACAATCATTCGACGATTGACTCGCTGTCGTATATCGACTAAGATCTAAATTGTTCAATGGATAGTCGATGAATGTGTCGATTTTCTCATTTGAATCGTTGTACGTAAAGCGTTTCAGTTGAATGATAAACACTTGTGGCAACGGAAAACATAAATCTGACTTTTGTTTTGCTGTAGTTATTTGATTGCATAGTGAACAATAATAATCACCATCCAAGTTAGCTTCTTGAAAGAAATCATCTAATAAATAGTTTAATGTGAGATGTTGGACGTGTTTCTCATTATTCAACAATTCTCGTTTTTCATAAGAACAGTTTTTACTACAATTAAGTTCATATTTTCGTACAACCGAACTCGGAACTTCGATTATAACAGCATCCATGCAGTAAAGAAGATTATTCAGATCTTCTTCGAGAGAGTATTTGTGTGCATTATTGATAGAGGTCCAAACAATGTGATACTTTGATGAGTCCTTCGTAACTGATGTTAGATGTTCTAAAATTTTGTTCAGCTTTTGTTTAATAATTTTTCCATAGCAGTTGTATTTTGGTCTTTTAATGTAAACCGGCGGACGAAAATGATGGTTGTTATCAACGTCTACGAATAAACAGAGTGTTAATGTATCCATATAAAGATCAATCTCAGCAGGTAATTCGAACACTGTCAGTCGATCTTCGAATATATCGATCAGGCGTAGCGTAATCGCGTACTCGCGGACGATACGATTGTCAACCATTTTTGCGACCACTAAATGCTCTGTTTCTGGTATATCATTTGTATTCTTCGAAGATTCGATTATTTTGTTCTTATATACAGCAATGAAGCAACGAGTTAATGTTAATAATGTACCATTTAGTGGTGCTTCAACTGATAGTGATACCACTTGACCATCCAATTTGCTATAATCAATCTCAAACAAACGCTGTTGTTGTTTATGTAAGGGTAAGGGTAGAAAACAACTGCTTTGCTCATTTGGATGTGAACCAGAACATCCGTCGCAGGTGACAGTAGACTGTATTTTGACATGGAATAGTGTTGTTATTATTGACTCATTCTCAGCATCTTTCAATTCATTATGCAAAGTATGTAAAAGTGAGTTCATGAACTCTTGCGCATCATTCTGTCTGTAGCCAGAAAATATTGGTGATTTATGACTGACACGTTCCTTCAATTCTCTCAATATACCATATGAATATTGTCGCAACAACATTGATTCAATGAGAGTTATGTAGACTTTTGATACGCTGTTCTCGTCAAAGTTGTCCTTAAAACTGTCAAAATACTCGACCAGTTTGGAAATATTGTTGAGACATTGCAATGCACTGTTCATATAACAAGTGTTACCGATGTTTTCCAATCCGCATAATACTGGTGTTGATAAAGTGGATTCAATATCTTTGTCTACACTCACAAATGAATTATTTTCAAAATGTAATTCACCTAGGGTGCAGCTATCAAGCTCTATGTCAAATTTTATCCAGGACCCCCGTTCGTAAAGAAACAAACATATGCCGTCATTGGTTGCCGTTGAATTTAATCGTTTTATTGCTTTCGCTTTTGTTTGACCGAGTGTGCTCGTTCGTAATATATTCAAATAACGGAATGGTTTCAATGTAAACGATTTTTCACAGAGTTTTAACGTTATTAATGAATCTGAAGAACTCGCTTTTACAATACTTACTGAAGACGGTTCAGGTTCGACGCTTATCACATCATATTCTTGTAAATCTAGCTGTGTTATAGTTGCATATTTATTATTTATTTCATCTAAACGCTTCCATTCATATTTGTCATTTAATGACCACAGACTGATCTCATCAGGTGTTAGGTGTAAACTACGTTCGTCTATAATTGTCCATTTTAACTGTTGAAGAGTATCTGTGGAATTTGTAGACAGTAAAACTGTGCTTCGTACCAATCGTTTAGTTGTACATATTCTTAATTGGAACGAAGTTTTTTCAGGTTTGGTCGGCGGCACATGGAAGTTTCGCACATTAATGGAACTGTCCGTAGATATTCGATTTTCTCTGCTATGATTATTGTATGATAAAGAATTAATCACACCAGGACCGTACAGTGACATTCTGTGTTTTACTAAAGCCTAGACGAAGAAATACAGTTCTGGATCATATTTCAAAACCCCAAATTATTGATTTATGTTTTCAAGTAGCTTAAAGAGCTGAACATCAGAGAACTTTCACCCTCCATCTTTACAAAACAGATGCAGTAAGAAAGTCTTACACAGCTATGTTCCTTAGCCTGTCTGTTCCTGAGATAACTATCGTAATACTGACCGTATCTATTATTCACGCACTACACATCCGAACAGTCTCATAATGGTTCATATTGAACAATTGATAAGGGAGCCAACAAACCGCCCTTCTCTTCTACTAATTCCACTATAATTGGATACATGCTTAATCGAAACAGTAGACCATTTACCTCACTGGTCGTTACTTTAATAAGCAAAATAAACCGACCGAATATTTAAAATGTAAAGTAAAATTTCTGGAGACATTCGAGGAACAATTGATATGGTTGACGTCTTACCTTGATTAGGAATATTAAATTTATTTTTGTTGAGAATGCTTCTTTAATACCGGAAAGTTAGAATTACCACTGAAATTCTACGCATTTACTTATTCTAAAAATTGTGCTCTAAATGCAAAGTTAAAATTATTATTCCTTATTTCCTTAAACGCTTCTTCAAGGTACTGCGTTATCAGTAGTTATTTTTTTCACACTTCCGTCGTAATAAACCAAAATACCAGGGTAATGGGCGAAGAGACAGTTTTTTGCATAAAATGCCTTATGCTTTTCTGAGCGTTATATTATATATGTTTTTGATCGTGACACGACATTACCGCGAACGACATTACCGCGAACGACTTTACCGCGAACGACATTACCGCGAACGACATTACCGCGAACGACGTTACCGCGAACGACATTACCGCGAATACAGAAAACGACATTACCGCGAATGCAAAAAACGACATTACCGCGAATACAAAAAACGACATTACCGCGAACGACATTACCGCGAATACAAAAAACGACATTACCGCGAATGCAAAAAATGACATTACCGCGAATGCACAGAAAACGACATTACCGCGAATACAAAAAAACGACATTACAGTGAACGACGTTACCGCGAAGACCCGTTTATTGGAAAAGAAGAATAAATGAGCCTGGTTTTGTACTTTGTATATCATGTGGAGGGAAGTGGGGAGAGGGCATTGTGAGAGT